TCTGGGTTTTAAGAAGTAATTTTACTTCTCAAACAGCAAAACTTTTTGGACAGAAGTTTTCCATGTGTAACTAAAATATGCAATGGTTTTGTTAAAAATATATTCAGTCTATTTTAACAATTATTAATGAAAAAGGTTTGTTTTAATTTTAAACTAAGATGACTATAAACAATTTCTTTAACCAATCTGATTATTTGATGGGCTTTTATTTCCAAGTATAAGGTTCAGTTCAATTATCTTTGTGCTTCTTCTTCTTCCAGGTGTATAACTGTAAACAGTTTTAAAGCAAACTGCATGTATCTAATTATGGCACTTTTATTCCATCCTATCAACGGTACTTATTGAGGATCTACTAGAGACTAGACACTTACTATAGATAAGTGTAGTTTAAAAAAATAAATAAATAAGACCCGCTGCCTATAGTCAAGCAATTTTTGCTCTAGATATGTTAACCTGAATAACTTAATGTGAGAAAAACTTTAGTGTCTAAATCATAATAGTATTCACAGAAGTTAATAAAATGAAAGTAAAATTTGAAACAATATTTAACTTTTTTCAATCTTTATAAATAAATTTTAATCTATTTCTTTAAAAAATGCTATAACTATTTTTTACACGCTGTTTTTCGTTATTAGACTCTAAAGTTTGTCAATCCCTCATGCATTTGAAATGAAAGCAAATCTTTACAATAAAAATAAAACATTTCCATACTTAAGAAAATGCCCATTTGCCAAATTTGAGATACAATAAATCAGTTAAATGTGAAAAGTGAATTTTATATTTATCAAAATACATTCTGTATCATCAACTTAATGGGAAGATAAAAGAATTACTTTAAAGTATTTTTGCATACATTTTTATTCTATGTAACTTTGAAGGTCATCAAAACAGTCAGTTATAGAGCTGTAAAGTTACTCCAGACGTAAGAATTTTACCATTATCACTTTTTACTTTATGTAAATTGAATGAATTATATTATCAAAGCTAGAATACTTAAACAATAATTAACCCTATGATTCAGTACCTATTTTTAATATCACCTTTTCTTCTAGATTGTTAGTAACTGTATTGATGGTTGGTAGGGGGCTACCATTTTTCCTAGTTATCTACATATATTGTACAGCACTATCTTTAGTAATTTCTTGTTATGCTTGCATATACTAGTTGGTTAAGGGTGGGAATAGTAGCAGGGAATTCCCAATTGCTCTTATGAATTTGCAATTGAGAGATTGCAATTCTAGGTTCTGGCTCTTTTGCTACTAGAAATGCATAATCATTTAAAAATGCATGTACCCTTATTGGGTCATGCTCTTTCTAGGAACATGTAGGTCACATACCATCTCCCGATATCATTCCCTTGCACACAATACCATAGATATGTAATTATGAAATAGGACTTCATTCTTTGCCCCTGGGGAGAATAAAAAGTTATACAGCTATGTAAAACTGAGATACCCCTTTCCAATCTATAACCAAGAAAGTTGTTCTTAGGAATGGACAAAAGGAAGACTGTGAGGAATTAAATTTAGGTTTAATATTGTTCTAAGTTTATTAATTTAAAAGGGAGGTAAGTTTTCAGTTGTTTGTCCGAAATGGCAACAAATGTAAATAAAATTTTAAGATACACTTTTATCCCCTAAGTTTATCATAACATTATGTTTTTATTTGTACTTACATTATGGTAATTACCTCAAAAAAACTGAAGAAACTGTAAGGAAAAATATGTCTAATATAGCTAATAAAAATAGTTTTGCTTGGATGCTATGAACTAAACAGGTGGTATTTTGGCATACATTTGTTATTGAGAAAGAAATGGCTAAAATACTAATTGTCATTTCTTCCCAAAACATAAAATTTTCTGTCTTTTAAATAATTTTTTCATTCACAATTATTTCTTCCAAACATTCTCAGTGTACAAGTGTAAAATGTAATCTACCTTTTGAACATCTCTGAACATTAACAGAAGATATAAAGATATTCAAAAAGGGTAGTTATGACAGGTACTTTGAAGCCATTAATCACATATTTGTGTTTGTTACTGATTATTAATGTCCCAAAGTTGCTCTAAGTAGTTACAAGAACACAGAATAAAAACCATGAGCTTGGAGAAACATATTTTCTAACCAGTAGAACATCAATATGCCACAAATATTTTCTCTACTGACAAACCGTAGTGAGGTAAAAATGCCTTACTGCAGTAACACCTTACCTTGAGGTTAGATGCCATCTATCTGTAGCTAAGGCATCAAAAAAAAAAAAAAAAAAGATATAATTCCTAACAATAAAAAAAAATAAAAACAAAACTCAGACTATTTTAGGAGTCTGCAATTTTTCATAATAATTTCATGTTTAGTCATAATTTTACGATTTGTAATATTTTCAATTTTTCTGCTTTTTTTTTTTTATTAGAGATGAGTTTTAACATTACTGGTGTCCAAAACAGGTAAAAGAAAGGGGTAAAATATAGTGGACGAGATGACAAATATAGCGATGACCTCACATTTGTGTAGTTCTGTAGAATTTACAAAGTGTTTTTGGATGGCACAACAACCTCAAACTGAAGTCCAGATTAGAATATTAAATTGATCAATTCTTTATTATTATTACTAGCATTGTTTTACAAACTGTGAGGAAATTCATTACAGAGTACAGAGATCTGGTACTCATTCTGAGGAGTGAAATGTAATGACTAAACACAGTACAAACAGTATAACCTATTTCACGTTTCCTAGAAAAGCTATTTGCTTTGGGTAAGTAAATAAATCCTTTCCAATCAGAAACAACTGTTGCAAATATGTAAATTTTAGATAATCAAACACTGTCCTTTGAAATAGTCTATTTATTGTAACTCCAAAAGTCATGCTGGGGATACTTTGCTTAATCTCAGGGAACATTATACATTTCACACATTGAACATTTTATTTTCTAAAAAAGGCCATTGAAATTGAGTATCTCTTTATTTTGGTGGAGGGTATTATGATCATTTTTCTCTAACTTTTAAATGTCAGGGAATAGTATTTGGATTTTACATAGATATGTTTTATTTCTTCAGAATGCAAGCTCTGATTTCAGATTTAGTCAGAAAAGAGATACACATAAATCTATATGACCAGAAGAGATAAGTAGATCGTAAAAAGTCCACACACATCATAACCCTGCACATCTAACACACAGATAAGGACAGTTACAGATTATTATGGCATGGATAACTTGATAATCTATGGTGAATCTATGATAAATTTCAAACTATAACAAATACAATGACTCATATTTTTTAAGGAAACAAACCACGAAGGCATAAATTTACCCTGAGATTTGTGTCACTAAGAAACTGAATAGTTCAAAGTCAAACATTATATGACATGCTTTAGATTGCTCTTATGAAAGGCACTATAGAAATGTCACCCTATTATAACCTACTGTATTTAAGAATTAACTGCAGCAGAACAGCCACGGGAGATGAATATATACTGATGTGATCATCCCCTCCTATTACTCACCAGTAGTTAATACAAAGCACGCTTTAGAAAAGAATGTATAAGACAAAGAAATAAACACAGTGTTAAAAAAGGACTGCATTTAATATCAGGATTTTTTTTATTAATTCTAACAGATCCTTATATTATAGTACTTTATCTGTAATAATAGGAGCCTTTCATTTAAATGATGCAATCAGTATGCCACAAGCGGATTCTTTCTTTAGTGGGAGGAGTTAGCAGTTCCAACATTCAATTGACCTGTTTCCAAATAATCTACAGGAAAAAAATGAAGATTAAGTCCTCTAACAAGAACAGTTTTCACAGCCTTGCATACAAAGAGAAGGATTCGGTAAAAAGATGAGAGGGCAAGCCGCATTGTGCTGGCCCACTTAAATCTTATTTCCAATTCACTAAATGTGTTATTTGACTTGGCAAGTGAGCTAGTATGTGTATTAGATCAGCAGGGAGCCTAATCAAGGAGATGCCAAGTTTACTGCAGCCCCTCTGAGCTGCATTAGCCTCAACTAGTGACCTTAAGCAAAGTGGGTGGTTGAACCCAAAAGAGAATAGCATTAACTTTTGCTTGAAGTTCAGCCTGAAGTCTCCTTTTGTGCCTTATTCCAAAAAAAAAAAAAAAAAAAAATGCAAAAAGCATTTAACAGAATTGAATATAACAGAATTGAATCTAGTCTGCTCAGCACCATCTTCACACGCAAGGCTTCATAGAAGCTTGCCTCCATTAATGCTGACACATGCAAAAGAAATGAAAAGCATTAACTCAGCTGAGGCACTTGATTTTGCAGCTGCAGAACAATTCACTTTGTAACTCAGTAACTAAGATGGGGTTTTTCCGCCCAGATAAATTGCTAATTTGCTAATTGATACAAAAAGTATTTTCAAATATTAAATAAACTGCAAATAAAGCAAAAAGAAAAAGAACACTAAATTACAAGGACACCTGAAAGATATGTAGCTTAGTATTAATAGATACACATATTTTTAAAGACCTCTTTTACCTTGTACACAGCACTGAGTATCCATTCCCAATTGCATATAATAGCTTGGATGTATATGTGAACTCTTCAACGATGTATTTTATACCAAGTAAAATGCAAACCTGTATAGTTAAAAAATGTTGTTATATAATAAATTCAAGCAATAGATTTATCTTTAGAAACATCTTTGTTCTCAATTTGGTCTCCCTATTTTAAACTTTCCATCTTGTCTATATACTCAAAGACTTCTAATAATGTCAGTTTTACACATTGTTTAGAAATACTTCGAAAGCTATCTTTAATTCCAGGATGTTCGACTCAGAAATACTCATACAGCAAAGATTGGTTGGATATGAAGATTATAAAGTTATTGAAGCTCAAAACCAGAATATTTTATAAGACCTTCTGTAATGCCTTTGGTTGTAAAAGTTTCCTCTTTCCTTAACAGAACATAAGGCAAGGTTCTTTTCTTTTCTTTTTTTATTCATCCTTCATTTTCCACTGTTTATTCGGCTTCCCCCCTCAGAACTGAACCAAAGCCAAGCAAAGCACCATCACCTTCTGGAAAGTGCAGAAACTGCAATCAAGATCAACAAAGAAAAGCACCCTTCTCATAGATTCATCTCTTTGGCGTTTAAGTGTTGGGGCGAGTCTACAAAACTCAGATTCCTCATTTAACTAGATGTTCCAGGTCACGGCGATATTCTACTGAGGCAATTTTCAAAAGACCATAAAACCACCACATCAATTTATGCTTGCAGGTAGTATAATTGCCTTTGTATCATATATTTTTAGAAAAAGTGGCTTAAAACAATTTGAATAGTGTTTTAGAAATAAGACCCTTAAATAATTGGCCCTGGTATTGCGTTTCTTAACTCTGGGATTTCAAAACATTTTCCAAACATTAATTGCAATGGGACCCCGGTGAGGCTGATATCATCACACCTATTTTCCAGGACGATAAGCAGGGAGCGCGGGGCCCATTTCTTGCCTTGCCCCATGCCCTTCAGAGCTTGTCCAAGCTCAGAGCTCCCTTAAAAACCATTGGATCAGCTCCATGGGAGCACAGAGGAAAATGAGAAATGGGCTCTTGGAGATTTAAGGGATTTTGTAAGGTCGTGTGTGAGTGAGCTGTAGCTAAAAGTCAAAGCTGGAAATCTAAGATTCCTTATTCAGCGCTTGGATATATTTCCTCATTAAGACAATTCATGTAGAATATCAGGTTTACAGGAATACGCTGGTAAGAAGTGGACTCTGTTGCTGTTGTGTTTTGAGTAACTTATTTAATAACAAAAATGTCTCCCTTTGATTTGAATAAAAATAAATGGCTGGATTTTCACAGGCGGCATGCATAGAAGACCAGCAAGGGCCAACGATGAATTTCGACACTGACTTTTAAAAATTGTGAAAGAGATGCTAACAGCCTAATTTGCAGTGGAGACTAGATTCTGTGGCTGTATCAGGTGGTGGTATAAAGAAGAGCCATATACAGAAGGTGAAATGAGGGGTTAAAAGTCACGCTAAACATGCTGCAAGGACCTGTGGGCATCCCAACCTTTTTTTCTTTAATTGGGAGGAGAAGAGCTTTTTACTAAAGAGTAAGTTCCACAATGTAGGCCGGCAGCCCAACTGGGAAATACTCTTGATTTGAACGGTTTGCAGCAGTTCTTTTCTGAACTCTTTATATAGATCCTCTTTCAATACTGAAACACATATTTTAAGGTAAAAAGGGTATTTTACTAATTTTTTTAATGAAGCTTTGACTGCAAGCAATACTTGGAGTTGGTAATCACCGGCTGGTTTCTTCCCTCCTGCACTGCAGGAATGAGGCCACTTTCACAGCTGGTTGTCAGCACAGCTCTTATTACTAACACCAATTATTGATTTTTAAAAGGCCTACGCTATTAGTACCCTGCTACATCTCTTCTCGTACAATATGCGTTTTAAAAATTCCTTTTGTAAAAATATAAAATCTGAGTTCAACCTTTCTATCATCACTGTGCTTGTTCTTTACATTTTATCTTATACCTTCACAGGAAAGCAAACCAGGAATCTTTTTTTTTTTTTTTTAAACTTTTGGGCTAATTTAGAAGCAGAAATACTTTGCCCATATGATCTCTCTGGAAGGTAGCACGTTATAAAAAAGCAAATGGTGCGTAGTAAGGGAGGATGAAGGAACACAATTAGAGAGTTTAGGATCTTCTATCCCCTTTTCTCTGCCTTTATTTCATGCTATCCCAATCTATGTTTAAGCCAATCATAAAAACCCACCTGGCCTCATCCCCACTAGGATGCTTGCTTTTGCATAGGACTGCACCCCAAATTGGACTTTTCTCTTCTCTTTGAAAGTTCTCAACGAAGGTCAATTTTAGGATTTCTTTCAAAAGACTATTCACACGTCAGTCATTCTTGTTGTTGATATATTGTCCAAATGATAGGCAGTTCTGAGAATATTTATCTCCAGCAATATTTATACGTGTATTAGTTTTATAGAGCTGATATAACAAAGCTCTATGAAAACTCGACAAAGCTCACCAAAAACTGGATGGCTTAAACAGCGGAAATTAACGTTCTCATAGTTCTAGAGGCTAGACATGCACCATTAAAGTGTCAGCAAGGTTGGTTTCTGCTGAGGGATGTGAGGGAGAATCTGTTTATGCCTTTTACCTAATTTCTGGTAGTTTTCTGGAGATTTTGGCATTTTTTGGATTATAGATGCATTTTCTGGTATCTTCCTTCCTGCTCACATAGGATTCTCCCTGTGTGTGTGTCTATGTCTGTGTCTAAATTTCCCCTCTTTATAAAGACTCAGTCGTATTGATTAGGGACCACCCAAATGATTTCATCTGCTAGGATCCTATATTCAGTTAAGGTCACATTTACTGAGAGAAAGCACTTCAACAACTTTTTGGGCAACATAATTTAAACCATAACGTGGTTTGTTAAATGTCATATATATGATGTTTTATATAATCATTATTATCATATATTATATATAATCAAATTCAATTCTATTATTTACAAAACACATGGTGATCATAAGAGAATATTTTACAAATTACAAGTGGGAAAAGTACATGGCATTACTAAAAAGTCAGTGCCAATGCCTCAGCAGAGAAAAATTAGTGTATTAATTAGTTACCCTCTGATGGATAGTTTCTAGGTAATAGAGACAGGTATTGGTAAGCGAAATGGAATTTTAATTTCATGAGGATGCTAGAAAATTGCAAGTTGGAAGCAATTTTATTTACTCCATCATTAAGATGTGCTAAGTGAATATCTAAAGCAAGCTTGTCCAACCTGCGGCCTGTGGGCTGCTTGTGGCCCAGGATGACTTTGAATGTGACCCAAAACAAATTTGTAAACTTTCTTAAAAGATTATGAGGGTTTATTTGTGATTATTTTTCTTTTTGCTCATCAGCTATTTTTAGTGTATTTTATGTGTGGCCCAAGACAATTCTTCTTCTTCCAGTGTGGCCCAGGGAAGCCAAAAGATTGGACACCCCTGACCTAAAGTATAATCCATATTCTGATAGATGGTTTTCAGTAACACAAATTCAACATAAAACTGAACATACATTTTCATGAGCAACTACTAGGTTCCAGGTACATGACTGCTATAGAGCATTAGAGTTCTAATACTAAGTAAAGAAGTGTGTGTGTGTGTTTTATATCAAGTACAATTTAGCCAGGAGGAGTGAAATATAAACCGATCATCGAAATTTAGAGGGCGCTATAAAGAAAACCCATATACATGGAAGAAAGAAAGAGAAGAAGCAGGGTCAACTTCTTAGTTGTGAGGAAGGATCTTGAAGAAAAGATTACTCTGTTTTTGTATTGCCATAAAGAAATACTTGAGGCTGGTTAATTTATAAGAAAAGAGGGTTAATTGGCTCACAGTTCTTCAGGCTGTATAGGAAGCATAGTGGCATCTGCTTCTGGGGAGGCCACAGGAAGCTTCCAGTCATGGCAGGAGGCAAAGGGGGAACAGGCACATCACATGGCGAAAGCAGGAACAGGTGAGAGCCAGCAGCGAAGTGCTGCACACTTTTACACAACCAGATCTCCTGTAACTCACTCACTATCATAAGAACAGCAGCAAGGGAATGGTGTTAAATCATTCATGAGACTCCAATCCATGATCCAATCACCTCTCACCAGGCCCAGCCTCCAACATTGGGGATTACAATTAGACAATTCATATGAGATTGGGGTGGGGACACACATCAAAACTATACCAGATAATGATAATATGACTTTAAAAAAAAAAAATCTGTATAGTCTCACCTAACAGTAGCCTGTCTGGGGCAGGAAGACAAATGGAGTTCATGTCTCTAAATATTTGCAATTATACATTAAGGTAACGAAATTGCTACCTAGAATATATTCAAATGTTCTACCTTGTCAACTATAGCTTTTGAGCAATGAAATATGAAACTAAGTGCATGAAAAAATCTTTATATGACTGGAGAAAGAAAAATATTAAACATGACGGAATTTGATTATTGCCCATATTTAGATCTTCTATTTATGAGTAAGGACATTTAAATTAGTAATAAAAGAAACATATATAGTTTATAAATATATGTAAACATTTTACAAAATTTATTTTTCCTACCTTTGTTTCAATACAATTCAATAATTTTACTCATATTTTCAGATTTGCAGAGATTATGAAAAAGCTCACTTTTAACCTGAGATTTTTAGTTTTTTAGTTCAAAAGTATATTTTTTCTAAATTAAATTTAACTGTTTTGATAACATTTTATCCACATTACCATCATGTGTGCCAAAAAAAGGTCAAATTTGATATGTGATTTGCTTTTCAAGAAATAAATTTAATCATCTAGATAACTGAGCAATAGAATGCTAAATATACACTTACTTAAGAAGATAGATAATATTGCAGTTCTGTATTTTTCTGCTTCTTACCTGATTTCAAAATGGTGATTTCCATAAAATTTCTTGGTAATTCTAAAAGGTAGTAGAAACAAATCAAAATGAGAAACAAATATAAATAAAATGCAATATTTTATTTGACTTTTGAAAATATATGCAGTCTTAAAGCTATAAACCTTATAACACCAGACCTCCGAAACATCTGGATATAAGGTATTAAATAACATTTGCATGTCTGATTTTTTTTCACATTTCTCCTAGTTTTGGTATAGTGCAGATGCAAATTGCAAAGAATCAACGAAGTCTTCCTGATCTATAATTTTTTTTTTTCTCAATAGTTTTCAAGGAAAATGCAGCCAGGCTTGGTGGTTCGATCATTTGAAATCTCTAAAGGATTTCAAATATAGGTAAACATCAGCGTGAAATCATAAAAACAAAACTGGTTGTTATTTCCAACTGCAATGATTCAATGTTGATGCTCACCCAAGGCAATCCCTTGGTTCCATCTTCTGACACTATATTAGAGTGTCAACTTGTGGATTTGCTTTAGCTGTTAATAAGAAATTTTGTCTTTATCATGAAGATTGGATCTTGGGTCTTCATGTCAACATTAAAATGATAATAGAGTGATAAGACACAAAATACCTGGGAATATTAAAGGATCTGAATCTTCTAACTAGGTACATAGATACTTGAGCACATCAAATGAATTAGTGTTAACCGTAAGTGTATTATGTAACTCAGGTAGATGGTGTGGCCCTGGAATTCCTGAAAGTTGCCTGTTGTTTAACATGCTGCCAGAACTTGAATGCTGCCACCACTCTGCCCTCACCTCACTCCCTAGGGGCCTAAGCAGAGCTTAT